GGAAGTCTCGTGACATTTTCATCTGGAAAATGCTTCACTTCAGTAATGTGCAAAGACTCCACTGCAATGTCATGAGAAATTCTGACCCAAACGCGGACTATTTTTGATGAGTGCCGTTGAAACCCAATTATACAAGTACATTTATAAATAGAAAAATGATTTATTGGAGCATCCAACGGACCTATAGTTCTTACGAACACTACTCCATGCAATCGTTCTAATCCCATGCAATCGTTCTAATCCTTTGGATATCCTTAGCATCGCAACACGTACGTTCCCCAAGCAATTTCGACGCTGTTGTCGTGAGATACTGTGTTTGGTGTGCATCCAGATTTATTTACGGCTCATTTGGGGTACGGTGTATGGTTGTTCGCCTACTGAAGTTACCGTACTGTCCTTCAGTCCGGGGTTCACGAAGAAAATATCGGTCTTTCCATTCCAGGTACGTCCCTACCATCAACCCGCGCCTTGGCGACTGTGGTGAAGATGATGTCCTAGACCGTAGCGACGTTGTCGGAGCTGCTCGATGTTGGAGGTCTTCCAGATTGAGAGTACTGGTCTCCAGGTAGCTACCCATGGGTGACTCCATACACCACGTTTCGCAGCTGTTTGGAGGTGAAGGTGATGGGCGAGAGCCTGCTCCTGCTTGTCGAGGAACATCTTGGGTATCTTCCGCCCTGGTACTCGTATCCACGTCCTCTGTCTGGGCTGCGAAAACTTTGCTGATATGTGACTCGGTCGAAGTGACTTTTTTTGCCCCCCCCCCCCTGTAGATGTCGATCTAGCGTCTGCCAGCGTCCACCAGCAACCAGCAGCGTCTGAGGAGTGGAGAGCATGGGCGATAGGAGGGTAGCAGACAGCTGAGGGGTATGAGTACCAACTGTCTGCTACCCTCCTATCTCCCCATACTCTACCAGCTGTTTGATACCCTCCTATCGCCCACACCCTCCTCTCCTAGCCGCTGCTGGTCGCTGGTAGACGCTGCTGGCCGCTGCAACAAAATATGGACTCACAAACAGCCTAGGTCTCACAAGATTTTTTCGTGTCGAGTCTGCTTTCTGCAGTCTAATATGATCTGCACACAACACACACCAAAATAACAATTTACAGCAAAGTATTTCTTTAACACAATGTTGAGTATCGATGGAATGAATTATAGCCTTGAATATAGAGATCCGAATTAAGTGGTTACCGGATAGATTATGCAGTAGAGCAGTGATTCATTCAAAAATACTAAGGAGCACTACTTTAGTAGATGATTTATATTCAGATGACACTGTAGATACCGAGAATGAGCAAAGGAAGATTTGTAGGCAATGGGTGTCAATTTAAACTAATAGCTGCATTAGTTGAGCATCATCAGCGGTTTTGAATTTCGTAATGAGATCATCGATGTCTGCCTCACTCGCTGGATTCTCCAGCTCTTCCAAAATCCGCGATGCTTCCTGAAAACAGAGGCTTTCATTTGGGGAAAAGGCAATTCCTCACAATCAGATGGGCAGATTATACCTCAACGATGTGTTCGGGGAAGCCGACAGTCCGTGAGACATGAATTCCAAACGAGCTCTGAGCCACCCCAGGCCGCACTTCGTATAACATGGTCAACTGTCCATCTTGTACTGCCACAGACATCTGCAATACAAAAGCGTTCTGGATCGCACCGTTATCACTGTTGTAGGTTAGGTTGTATATTATGCCACAACTTATAATTTTGTAAGTGCCGTCCAGGAAAACTACGCACTACCATCTCTCCTCTAGCTCGCAGGCTGACATCTGAATGAGTAAATAAAGCTTCTGGCGTAGTTCAGTTTGGTGGGGGCACCAGAGGTACTAAATGAAGCTTGTGCAGGCGACCATGTAAAGATCAAATTCCTGCACCTGTACCATTTGCCAGCTTTACAGGGGTGAACAGGTGAGACTTGTGAAACATGAACTAGCATGAGTAACTGTCGTGAATGCGAAACCCTCTGCCCATCGCCAAGGCCTGTGCCAACTTCCCTAGACGTGCTAACTTCAAGGGACTTGTACACCATAAAATCAGTTCGGCTGTGCTAATTCAACGCTGACCAGCGAATTACCTTCGACAGCCGCAGCGCACTTATTTGAGATAAACTTGGTGATCTTTAAAAACGATACCTACACAATGCTAACTGAGTAAGGTAAAGAAGGCTATTGTCACTTTTCCCATCAATCGACGGGAGATGGGCAAGAGAATAATGGGTTTCGTTCCGCCGCGCACGACCGTGGCCGTGGCATTTTCTTAACTCGTGTTAACTTGTCGATTGGAGCACCGGACTTCATGTAGACCCCGTCATCGTAGACATTCATGTTTTCGGTTCTGAATTGCCTGTTGTCGCCATCTACTACCTGGAACCATCGTCATTTGCAGGCGCGACGTCGCACGCGACGCCCATCAGCGAAGCGAGTTACGATTCTCTTGTCACATACACTCAATCGACACCAGCAGGTTCCACTCGAGCCTCCTGTACAGTCGACCGTTTCTCATTACTTCAACGGTCCTCCTTCACTGAAGTTTACGACCAGTCAAGGTTTTGAGGCGACAAGTGGCAATCCTATTGAGACCTTGACAGACAGGGGCACACGGCATAAAAATTAATCATGCATTTACCCATGTCGCCGCAGCCACTTTGGTCGTATACAGTTTTGAATGTCAGTGACTCTTTTATGGTCAGATGATAACCATTTCGCAGAAGTATTCACCCCTCCCCCTTTCCCACCGCGCTCGAACAACGTAGGCGCGACAGAACAACCAGCAGCATGGTTGCTTAGGATTAGGATCACTAAATCGTACCTCACTGCTCGAAGCTCACCTTCGGCTACAGAGCTGTCCCAAAATTGAACCATACTCTTGGAACAGAATGTATCTGGTTTCCTTCGATAAATATCGCCCCCGCAATGCAAAAATGATCGTGAAGGTCCTCAATAATCACATACAATACAAGCCTACATCTAATAAAAAAATCTGCTCAACATTATATGTAAAATCTGCTCAACATTATATGTAATAAAGGCCAACACTGTGCAGCTAATGAACGATAGCTTGAGTATACCTGCATTGCTGCAGCGCCTGGTTGGTTAGCTAGAGCTCCCATTTCGTGAAAATGCGTAGCAAATAGACAGAAGCAGCGCACTCTATTCAAGAGATCACTGAAAAAAAAACAGCTCAACGGATGAGCATAATGGGAACTGGCAACTAAGCGTTACTTGGCGATAGCCCAGGCTAGTCCAAACCCATCATACGTTGAAGTTCCACGACCCAGTTCGTCGACAATAACCAGTGAAATCTTCGGCGGTAGCGAGTCTGGAAAGAGGTTAGGCACTGTTAGTCGTTTGGTCGAATGCTTTGTCGAAAGAACTGGACCTCCAAAATCGTGGCGCTATCAAGCATTTCGGCCATGAAGGTGGATATGCCTCTCGTCTGCTGATCACTAGCTCCAACACGCGTGAAAATCCCATCGAGTACGGAAAGGCGAGCATACGAAGCGGGAACAAAACACCCTAAAATTTGTTGACAAATAATAAACACCACGCGCCTAAAAGTATGACCAAGAAAAAAGTATGACCAATTACCGATTTGTGCCAGTAACGCTGAAATAGCCGCAGATCGGAGATAGGTACTTTTTCCACCCATATTCGCGCCAGTTAACACAATCATTCGATTAGACCCTAAACAGAAAAATACAGTGCTAAGGGAACGCTTTCAAAAACCCAGTGAATAACTGTGAACTGACCAAGATCAATGTCATTCGGGATGAAATGCTCATCAGTCAATGCCTCTAGTACAGGATGACGACATTTTCGTAGCTCAAAAATTCCGCTCCCTCAAAAGGTGAAGGAATACTAAAGCAGATCACTTCCAACGTATCAAAAAATCATACCCATGGGTTCAAGTTTTGGTCTGACGTATTCCCCGGCTGAATCAGCTACAACACGAGCCAGACTTGTTACGACATCTATTGTAGCCAGCGCGCTGCTCAATCCACTAAGAGCAGGAGCGTAGCCAGCTGCAGTATGCTACTCGTTAGGCGGAGACTAGTTTTTTTTATCATTCTATCATAATAGAATTCTCCGTGGCGGAAGAATAACTAACCACACGTCCCAACTACTTTTTTCTCCAGATCTTGCTGTGCAGTCCGATATATGTCGTTCAAAACTTGATAGCTGAAAAATTATGATCAGTTGTCCTTTTTAGCGGAAATTATCAGAAGGATATTCAGTGAAGCGCAAAGGATTGGCTTCAGCTAGAACTTTAACCTGAACTAGACGCGTGCCGAACAAGCGCGCTATCATTACACCACCAAGTCATTTCACCAGTACCAATACGGTCTTGTTCACTGCGGATGATGGGGCGTGTCAGCGTGGGAATGGGTTTGGCGCAACGCCGGCCCGGCTCTTTCATCTTTTCATTCTTTCGGCGAGCGACAATACTGTATCATATCATCTGTATCAGCCGTTTTCACCACCTGCTGTCGCTTACCCGCCTCAACAACTGGTGGAGAACGAACTGGCGATGCGTCAAACCTAACTGACACGCCTCATCCACAACGAACAAGACTGTACACCACCACACATTAGTAAATTAAAGTTGACCAGTATACTGGTAACTTCAACACCATTAACAATGCAGACAACGCGCTCAGATAATCGACAAAAACTAAAATTTGCCCTGGACTCCTTCCCATAGGACTGATGACCTACATGAACTCAGTAGGTTGAAAAATGGTATCTGGAAAACATGTCGCCTTCGGCTGCTGCCATGGCCCAGAGGGCATCAAATGACCTTGGTGCCGTTTCCTTTAGTGAAAAAGTCATTCTCTAGGGAAGCTCATGTTCACCCACCGTTCATTGATTTCGTCCAAATCATCGTTCTTGAATCGCACACCTCCGGCTTTGGTTGTGTCAACTATAGAGATGGACTTGCATGATCGCAGATTTTTCTCTTCCTGAACAATCGACTGAAATAGTGATGAGGACCGAGACGATTTCCGACAACTTTATTGTCAAAACTTTGTGCTAACATTGTCCGAATGGGTCACGCCAGGCCTGGTTTACAAAACTAGCACCCGAAGTCCGATCATTTGGCAGTATAGTAAGACTGAAGCTTGGGTGGTATACACGAACACGCCGCTGGGCCCTCCGAACTATACGTTAAAAGGATAAAGGATAAAGTTTTTTGATCAATCCCTTTGTGGGATGCGGCACGCATTCTACTTCCATTCAGAATCGTAGTGGCTTATTGAATGCGATGTGGCCTATACAATGACTTGCGATGGCCGATGTGCAAGTCAGTGTCCTTACTCTCCCACGAATCTGGTACCGAATTTACCGTCCCCGGGGTAGAAGGCTTGGTTGGCCTGGGCGGGTGTCGACCTGGGATTCGAACCCAGGACCGCGCGAGTGGTAAGCGCGCCACTTGTCACTACACCACCTCCGCCTCCCGAACTACGTTACCTCCTGTAAATTCATTTTATCGGACTGAACGAGACAACCGAGCACGGCAGCCAGCATGACTGCTGCCACTGCCGAATCCAAGAACATACCTTTAGCGTGACTCGAAACAAGAAGCCTTGCTGAGGAGCGCAATCCAGCTTCACGGAATCAATGTCCAGGCGCGACGCTATCTGAACTTGCTCGATAAAGAAGTGTAGCCTAGACATTACGCCTATTGGAGTTCACATTTTTCTCTGCACAGTTTAGTTCAAAATGAATGTAAGACGTCAGATGCAACCAACCTTAGCTCTAGCTTTTTCGGCTTGCTTTTCCAGATCAGCCATCTCTTCACTAATCCGCAATAGTTCAGGATCGATGTCAGGGCGGATTCGGAAATCTCCAGTTTTCTTATAGTAGTCATCGTCTACTGTACTGCGAATCAGCTGGCAATATTTGTCAAACTGCAATAATCCGTAGCATATAGGCTCCTGAAATAATGGGCTTTTTTTAGGGGTCTATCTAGTCAAAGTGATCAGCTTCAGAAACTCACTAGCATGAGATCCTTGATAGCTGGAGCATTTTTCTCGTCATTATCAAAGAGGTCGCGCAAAGTGGTTTCGAAGTGTCGTAGTAACATGGCCAATTGGTAAACGCGATAACAATCCTATACAAAATTTCTGTGAGCATCCAGAAAAATCCATAATCAACCAAATCGTGACCACCTGCAATTTGGCCTTGCTTAGGACCAATTTCCTTGCAAGCTGACTGCTGTCCGGGACTTTTGGAAGCAACATATCACTCAACGTCCGACGAGCCTAGACGAAATAAATGAATTGCAATTTCAGAAGTACTCTATTAGTGTTCTGTTTTTCTGCCAACTCAAGAATTTATGTAGCTCTCAAGCGCTTCATTGGAATGAACATCATGGCAAATGAACATACGTCAGGATTGAGAATAAGAGACTCGATGGCATCTTGACGCTCTGTGATCTGTCGCAATTCGCAAAGAGGACGTGCAAGCCATTCCCCTAGGATAAGAATTTTCCAGAACGTAAAAGCTCCGAGGGGCGAAATTCACCCGTTCTTATAATACCAGTGTCAAAAAGATTCAGTCACAACTATACATGATGGAACGTATTGTTTTTATCAGGTAATTATTGGTTTATTTTACCATGAGGCAACAATGAATAAGAAATACTTGTTGGAAACTAACTTAGCAATCGCTGGCCAGGAGCTGTGCGACATTTGTTCAGTAAGCCATATACAGTACCGGATGTGCCTTTAGCATCTGAAATGAAGGGAAAGGTGATTTTGAAAAATAAATGAACAGTTGAGTTGTCCGAAAAACATCTCATTTGCCAATGAACGATGAACTGGGGCAGATTCAGAGCCAGAGCCGAGCTGGAGAATCGGAGAAGTTAACAAAAGGGCTGGACGCGAATAAATTCACCGTTTCTACACTCCATTTCCCAGAGATGGAGAGTCCGTAACAACATACCCTACGCCATGTTCAAGTAAAATACGCAGCAGCGCCCACTCCATCGCTGGGATGTGAAGAGTGTTCTTGAGCGGAGTCTAAAGAAACAATTAGCATCTCACCTTTTTTCTTTGTTTCTCAGATTTCCCAATCCTCTAACTTCCCCAAAGCCTAAGCATGGAAACTATGGACTGATTTCTATCGAGTCGCAGATTCTGCAGTTCTTTGGTTTAGTAGATCAATATGTATGCACTACAGTCTTGTTCGCTGCTTATGATGGGGACATGTCCAGGGGTATGGGTTTGGCGCGACGCCAGCCCGTTTTTTCCTTCCGGGAAGCGGCAAAGTGTATCATATCCTTCGAATCAGTCGTCCTCCACCAGACTATTGTCGCTTAACTGTTTCAACAACAAGTTGAACGGGCTGGCGACGCGCTACATTCAGCCTCACTGAAACGCCACATCATCTGCAGCGAACAAGACTGTACCTAATGCGGTTGCTTGGGGCTGGATTCGCCAACGTCGCAGGGTATGAACATAATCTGGCGGTCTCACGGTTTGGTGAGAAGCGCAGCCGGACTCTATTCACGATATCCAAAACAACAGCATGAAAATATACTCACCCTGGTGATAATTTAGAGCAAACAATTCCAGCGCACGCACGGCGCCCGCGTCGATATGCATAAATCCTGAGGTGCGATAAGTCGACAGGGTGAATTTGTGCGTGTAAGCTTCCTGCTCGTCCATCTTGAGATAAGAAAACAGACCACAAAGGCATCGTTTCAGATTGTCGGAAAGTGAAGAAACTGAAAGGGATACATCAATTGCTTTGCCAAATCACGGACATGCCGTACACTCGAAAATGCGCCAATACCTTCACATCCAGGACGGAAAATGTTTTGCACCTCTTCCCAATCTGCTGTGTTGGTTATATTGACTCCATTTGTTTCAAGAACACCCACTTTTCGAAGGAGAGCGCTCAGTTTCTTTGGTCGATCTTTACCAGTGAACGGGCATTCACCCTCGTCTGCATAAACCAGACACTCTCTCGGGCCTATACCGACAATACAGTGCTGGAAATGTGAGCAGTAACCTCGAAATGAGAGCAAGGGCTCCCTGAATACAAAAGGAAACCTACCTCTACTTGAGCAAACATTGGTGAGTCAATGAACTCTGACGTCAGAACCCGAAAATCAAGCATGTCCATGAAGGATACGCTAACTTTATTCTGAAATCTTGATCAGTTGCGAGAGTGCACAAGAGCGTGTGGCAAGTCTTAAGGAAACGTACATCCTCGCCATGTGCAATCTTTACTGCCATTATCACATTTCCACCACCATTCACCTCACCAATGATTTCTTCAAAATCACCGAGATTTCCTATTGTTCCCTGAATAGAGAGAAAACAGTGAAGCCCATCTACTTCTATGAAATCAAGTAAAATGTTACAAGTTATGAGCAAGGGTAACCTTCGCTTTTACTGCCCACTGGTCCGATTCCAGGCCGTACAGTTCAATGCGGTACCTCTTGAACATAAGTAACTCGCGGACTGTACGCTGGTACTGACCACTGCTCATCGTTAAATATTGGAGCACCTCACCTAAATAAACGCAAATATGTTGTAAAGTGCATATCACTATGTGGCAATGTTGATGAGCAAGCAGAGCGCATCACCCGATGGGAAAACGCAACGGAAGGGAAGTGTTTTCGTGCTGCCAAGAATAAAGATATTTTTTCCCGTTTCACGTGAGCTACACACCTCCCTACCTCCCTGGCAGCAGCGCCGAGAACCTTTAAAATCACCACTAAGTCTTATAGTAGATCGTGATGTTTCTGGAGTGCTTACCTCGCTCGACACTTGTCCCAATGCTATTTGTATCTCCACCCACCCCCTACACCCCTCTGCTCGACGGTGAAAGTTTGAGAAAATACGTCGTGTAAGAGGGGTTGTAAATTAGAGAAAGTCGATGTTATTCATAATTTTATCCAACGCGATGCTGTGCCCTATAGGCAAGGTTTCACCAGTGGCCCTTACCGGGCCAAAAAAGGCAACTAACCAACGTAACCCAGTGAACGCCAGAACCTGGGCAAGTCTTACCTCGTAGAATCCCCAGCCGGGGATAGTACTTGTTTGCTGGGAGGACAGGGATCGTATTTGGCCGAAGATTTTTTTCTAGTTGATTTTTATTGTTTCGCGGGCGCTACCCAATCGCTGGAAGAATCCTAAGGTGGTGGTTGTATTTGCTCGTCATTGGGAGAGGGGATCGTGTTTACTCCTGACAATGAGAGAAATTCGCCTGCCGCATTGTGGGAAAGTTCGTCCGGCTCTGCCTTTCTGCAATTTTACCCGTTTCACAAGGGCTATACACCCTTCCTTTCCCCCTCGACGCGGAACTTGGGCAAAACAAAAACTGAATCTTCGGGAAATTTTGGAACTGGCACGATGTTGGGGAAAATCAGGGTGACTAGAAAAGTGGGAGGACGGGGAAGGGGGTCGTGTCAGAAGGGAATTGGTGAGGGGCGATTTCCGGGAAACTAACCCCAGCGGCAGGACGTGCCCTGACCAGAACTATTCCCAACAATACCACTGATTAATGCGTACCTCTGATTGTGACGGTTTTGAGGCAAACATCACTCATAAAGACTTCTGTTGCTAATAATACGGCATCATCTCCATAACAGGCATAGTAGTCCTCAATATCAATGCCATAATTCAACTATTACTAACAAAATGTCGCCGCAAATGAGGCAAACAAACACGTAGACAACGGTTGAAGACGTACCCCCTTATCAAATATGGCAACGGTACCAGCAGCTTTAGTGTTCAGAGATCGAAGCAAGGATTTGTCTGCAGAATCCATCTCGACTCGATTCCTGAGCGAGAACCTATGCAATTTTAAAAGTGTTAATGAGTCTTAAATGCTGCGCATGAAAAAAATTTGAGGGCAGTTATGCAACGAGGGGGTATTTTGCACTTCTGCTACTTCCCATCGACATGTCGACCCATCTTAGAATGATATTTCATGAAATTACGAGAGTTGAGTCCAGCTTCACCATAGTTAACAGATTTCACGGGGTGAGACTTGTAACTGGAAGTAGTGAAGCAGCTAAAGTGCAAAATGCCCCTTTCCCTTGCCGCTGAACTGCGCCAAGATTTGTATATTTTCCATATCCGACATTCAATCCGATATCAGAACCTGGTAGTTTATGTGACGAGCACATCGTACGGCTAATACAAACCAAAATCTGCCAAAAATCTTCATGCAAAAGGCTCAGGTATCACATATCAAATGAATTGCAATTATGCTAAAACGTGCCTAAAATGCTGTGGTAAAATCACAAACATTCAACCCATCGTAGGAAAAGCACTAAACGTAATAAATACGAATTACAAGTTGAAGCAGTTGAAAGGTAATAGACACTATGAACAAACACGGAAAGGTTAGTGAATGATATGGAATGCTAATATGCAGAGCTAACGACAAGCAATAGCTGCTGTTTCAGAGGTTCGAGTAGAAGTTGAGACTATTTCGCAAAGCTGAGTTAAAAAGTTTCATCATCGTCGTTTACGGCCGCCTGAGCAACACCATCTTCTCCTCCTTCTGCTGCTTCTCCCTGAAAAGGTGTAGCTATGTGTGACCAAAGCAGTGGAAAAATAATTGTAAACTAAACAGTTGATTCCTAGGCAGCGCTCACACCTTTGCTACTGAGGAGACTATATTTTGTGAGGCTCGGCGTTACTGGCGCGCCGAAAGAGAGTGTATTGAAGAAATACATAGGAGCCGACCGCTGAACGACTTCGGAGATTCTGGCGAGCCGGCCGACCGTCCCAAAACGCGGAGACCTGCCGGAGTCTCTCGAATCGCCGCTATCGCACGTGACAGAGGCTGTTTCGGCGTACTCATCCACTCCTTTAGAACCCCAATCACATGAAAGCTGAGCCTTCCGAATCGCCGAATCTCTCGTCGCAAAAGTATGAACGCGGCCTCAGATAGCAACAGGAATTCATCTCATGCTAGTTCGTGGAAAATCAGATGTCCGGTGACTGAAACTGTACAACAGCGTTCTGTTCTAGGGTTTTATAGCTTGAGAGTTCTCGCGAAGTAGCACAAGGTGAACAACGGGAGATCTGTTGAAAAACATGGGATTTCTCACGGGATTGTTCCTTAAGTTTTTAATCTCGAAGATAAGAGGTTACGGTTTCCATTAACATTACGTTCGTGTTCGTAAAGAATCGCTAAAATCGCTTCCTTGTCAGGGTTTTCGTCTTCTGCACAAGCTATGCACATGTCTTCTATTCTTCGCAGCTTCTCAAAATAGAAATTGCGTTCGCTTTCCACTGTTTCCGCAATGCTTGTCATCTGCAAAATTAGGGACGTTTACTGAACCAAATATTAGAAGCACGAAGGCAGCTGAGGTAATCAGTTGAGCAGGGTGAAAAACCGGTCGTCGTTGCTGAAATGATCCTTCGTAGAGCGTGCAGCGAGAACCCAAAGGTGAGCAGGAAGAAACCAACTGACAGCAGTGACAGGCACAACGACCAGTTTTCCTTGTCAAGAGTGACTGCAGCCTTACCTCTTCATACTGCTGGGTAAGCTTAGCGTTCTCTTCTTCGAGAGCTTTGAGCGCCGACGAATCAGGTGCTACGGAACGGTTGGAAACCGGTGGAGCAGGTGAAACTAAATAAATTTCTCTTAGAAAAGATCAACTGGAATCACGTACTAGTTCCATTCACAAAACGTTCGTAAACGGTGGTTATTGAGCGAAGTTGTGGGAACAGTAGAACTAGATCACTGCTAGTTGGTTATGTAACACTCTTCTCCGAAAACGGTATAAGGATCTAAACTTGAAGGAAGCAAAAACAGTTTCAATCGGAAGCATTGTTCAATTAAGCGGGGGGGGGGAAGCAATCTGCACTGTCGCTGGTGTCCTTTGCTAGTTCTTATTGAATTGCACTTTCACCTTGGTAGTACTGTAGACTCTCGTCAGAAGGAAACGAGGCTCATACTTTTGCATAGCTTTACAGGGAAGCGCAGGTCTCCACAGGATGAAGCGGCAGTGATGGGAACCGGTAAAATGCTCCCATCAAGTCGAATTCTCCTTCCGATAGTCTCTGCCTCTCAGAGACTCCACTAACTCAGACGTTACAATAAGGTATTAACAACGGAAATTAGAAAGAACACACAGATTTCACTATTGAAATGAGAATAGACATCAAACAGCACACTAACGCTGAAAAGGTTACTAACTTTTCTTCGCTTGGGTAGGAGCAGCAGGAGCAGCTGCACGTTGAACCGTGTTTGTTGAAGCCCGAAGGGTTGTATTTGTTGATGTCCGTGCAGGTGGAGCACGCGCTGGTGCTACTCCTTTAGCACCTGCTGGCAGTGGCTGAACAATAGTTGTCATGATGGGCAGAGAAAGGTCCGGTAATATGAAGGAAAAAAAGCTGAAGATTACTACTGGCACTATTTACAGTTCACTGCCAACAT